CACTCAGTCAATCAATCAATCAATCAGTCAGTCACTCAGTTAAGTCATTCAGTCAATCAATCAGTCTCAGTCAGTCAGTCACTCAGTTAGTCACTCAGTCAAGTCATTCAGTCAGTCAGTCAATCAATCAGTCTCAGTCAGTCAGTCACTCAGTCAGTCACTCAGTCAATCAATTAGTCAGTTTCAGTCAGTCAGTCACTCGCTCACTCAGTCAATCAATCAATCAATCAGTCAGTCACTCAGTTAATCAATCAATCAATCACTCAATCAGTCATTCAGTCAGTCACTCAGTCTGCCAATCAATCAGTCAGTCACTCAGTCAGTCAGTCACTCACTCAGTCAATTAGTGAGTCACTCAGTCTGTCAGTCAATCAATCAATCAGTCAGTCTCAGTCAGTCAGTCACTCAGTCAGTCAATTAGTGAGTCACTCAGTCTGTCAGTCAATCAATCAATCAATCAGTCAGTCTCGGTCAGTCACTCAGTCAGTCACTCAGTTAGTCAGTCAGTCAACTTTATTTCTACCCATAGGCAGATTTGATTCCCACGTGCAATGTTAGTATGCCAGTATAAAGCTTTACCTCCATACAATCCTTTAAATCATAGGAAATACATGTTTTCTGTCGTCAAAAATGACTCGATAATCAACAGAAAAACTGAAAGTTTGAATCTGGAAAAGTTCAGAATTTCAAAATGAAAAATGTCTGAACCTGTAATAAAACAGAGGAAATAAAAAAAATAATAAAAAAAGTCAATCTGTCTTCAAAAACTTCTCTACCCTTACTTTTAGATTTTAGATTCTTTAGTTTTCTATAATAATAATAATAATAATAAGTGTTGTTGTGTTGTTGTTTTTTTGTTGTATGTTAGTTTTATCTGGTAGTTTTCAGAAACGTTGCAGAACCTTTGCTGTGACTGTTTTTTTCTTTCATTTGAAACTTGTTCTTGTTTTTGTTGCGTTGCTCTGAAGGAAACTGCAGATTAAACTCAGCCTGACAACTGAGGAGGGTGAACTTTAGAAATCCCACTGATCCAGTTATTACGCAGAAATAATGGAAACTGAACTCTTCAAGCAAAGAGTATATCCATGCCAATCTGAAATGCTCTGTGTGTGTGCATGTGTGTGTGTGCACGTGTGCGTGCGCAGAATGCCTTGCAGTTCATCAAACAGTGCTGGAAGATGCAGGGACGTCCCCTCTTCCTGGTTCTCATCCGTGAGGATAATATCAAGTAAATAAGACACTCTGAACACATTTATGATTTACCTTTTTGTTTTACAAGGACATTCTCTAATCTTCAGTTTTCTTACAATCACCCACTCTTTGTACGTAATAACACCTGATGCCGTTTCAAACCTGCAACATAGCGTCTGTAGAACCACCTGTCATCTTACATTTCTTGCTTACTGCCTCCACTTCTTTTCCTTTTATGCATGTGCCATTTATCTTCGTAGCAGAAAGGTGTTACTGTATTTGCTTTCTGATTGGGTAATAATGTTTCTCATTTATATCACTATAGTCTGGCTGTTGAGCTGATTACAGCAGTATTGACTATCACCCAGGGAGCCATATGTTAAATGTGCTCCCAACGTTTAAACAGCCTCACTGCAGCTTTCAAATCGAGCACTCATAAAAGCAGCTCAATAGTCATTAGTGTGCTATTGATCAGGGTGATGACCTGTACTGTAAGTGACAGAACACTGAACTAATGATATACCCATCTATACAGAACCTTTATCTGTTTTTGTTTCAGACTGTGTGTTTGCAGATGTTCTGTTTGGAAAAGACAGACTATATAACCTGTGAATAACGATACATTTAACATTTTGACTTCTGTCTAACCAGAGGGAGTCGCTTCAACCCGGTCTTGGACATGCTGGCGTCCTTCAAGAAAGGCATCCTTGGTGACGTCAAAGTTCACGTGGACAGACTGCAGGTTTGTGGATCCGGTTAATGAGACCAGTTCTAACACTTTGAATCAGCAATGAATATTCAAAGAACAGACTTTATGTAGTTTAGAATCTGAAACACAATTAACAATCTGTTATATATGTTTCCAGCACATTAAACCATAACTCTAGTGTTTAAGAAAAAGGTTTAGAATAAAGGTTCAGATTTAGCAGGTGGCTCCAGAGTGTGCTGCTCTTAAACTTCATATCGAGATAATAATTTGAAGTCGATGTTCTCCCAGATTATTTGGCGACTTGAACGAGTGGCATTTTGAATACTACTGCTCGATGTTCTGGCTGGGCTGCATGGTGGTGCAGATGAGTAGCACTGTTGCCTTGCAGCAAGAAGGTCCTGGCTTTGCCTCCTGGCTACATCGAGTTTCCAGGTTCACCCTGTACATGTGTGGGTGTTCTCCAGGCACTTCCATTTCCTCCCACAGTCCAAAAACATGCATGTTTGGTTACCTAGCAACTGAAAATTGGCACTAAGTGTGCATGTGTGCATGTGAATGATTGTTTTTATGTAGCTGTTATGGTTGTATGTCCTTGTGATGGACCTGTTGTGGAAGAACTTACAACCCCTCACCCCAGTGAGTGCTGAAGGTAGGCATGAATGCCCACAACCCAGAACAGAATCAAGCAACTATGGATATATGGATGGATGGCACGCATCATGGCGTCACTGGAAAACAGAAATTTGGTTTGACGAAATCTTGTCCTAACTCTTTTTCTGTTATGTTTTAAGTTCAAGGTTCTTTTATTGTCATTTGCATGTGGTTGTCATTTGGTACATGAGGTGGAACGAAATTGTGTGCTCAAGGTCCTAGTTACACCCAAGAATAGCAAAAATATAAAGTATAAAAACAGCATATAAGGATCTAAGATATACACTAAGACATACGCTAAACACTAATAATGTAAATCATTAAAACAGCAGCCCAACATGAATACAGCAGCTTAGAGGCAAGAGATCATCAGCATGGATAATCAGAGATCAGCAGCATAGATAAAGCTCATCAGCATGGATAATCGGAGATCAGCATCATAGATAATCAGAGATCAGTAGCATGGATAATCAGAGATCAGTAGCACGGATAATCAGAGATCAGCAGCATAGATAAAGATCA